TGCAAAGTACCTTACCTGGATGAAGGAGAATAACTCTAAAAGGCTCAATGGCAGATTTATATTAGTAAAAGAAAAGGCCCACAAACTTGAAGATCGTGCTTTTGAAATTACCCAGTTTGAGGAACAGAAAGAAAACAAAATGAAGAAACCCAACAGAGCCAGCGTTACGGGAGGGACAGCAGAATGCAGGGAACAGAATGATGCGCAGGACCCCGCGCCTTCAGCGAAGGCGCCGAGTGGCAGTTCTGTGCCTAGTGACCCAGGAATTTGGTGAATGTACACACGGGGGTAGACACTGCCGGAAGAAGCGGGTAGCACGATTTCGTGGGCACACAGCCTGCGAGGGTGTGGGGAAGGCACGCAAAGCTGCCCTGAGTCAGGGGAGTCCTGGGGTTCAGAAGATGAATCTGATCGAGGGATTAGGAACCACCGCGACAGAGTAGAGGCTATAAATGTCACATGTCAGGAGGAGAGGCGACAGGGGACCCAAAAACGCAGGAGCCTCAGGGCGAAGCGTGAACTGCTGGAGAGTTGCTAGGCAACAAACGCTGCGCACCTACTACGCGCTGAACTGCCTTTAAATTATGACGCGTTCGACCAGCCCAGACGCCCTGCTTCCCGCGTCTCCCCTGAAGCCACAGGTGACCAGCCTAGAAGGAAGCCTGGGTCCGAGGCCTAGCCGGCAGGGGGCAGCGGGGGGGCTTACCTGTACCTCTCCCCTCCAGGCGGGGGCCCAGCCGGCAGCCCAGGACGCTCTCTCGTCCGGGCTGGCGCACTGTCCCCCGCCCCCTCCGTCTAGCCCACCTGAAGCGGGTGAAGTCCACGTGGTCCCGACGTGCACCGCGAGCACCTCCCAGCGTCACTACGGGAAGTCTCCTGCGAGACAGCCTTGGCTGGGGAGCTGGTTGCTGGGCAACAAGGCCAGGCTGCCATCTGCCCCAAAAGTGGGCAGAATCTTGGATTCAACCCCCAGGAGAGTGTGTGGCGAAAGCGCTGATGCCAATTCGACGGCTCTCTTCCTCAGAAAAAGGGATTATCTTTATAAGTCCCAGCAACTCAGACCCCTTAGGGTAGTGAGTTCCTCCAAGATAGTGGCTCTCAGCGAACACAAACCCCCATCACAGACCTGCCCCTTGCAGGTGCAAAGGGACCGAGAACAGCACCGGCACATAGCTGGCGATTCCTGGCTGGTGGGGTTTGGTTTTATGTTATTTGGATTTTAATTTTTACATTTACTAAGGTGTTCCCCACGCCCCACAATGAACTACCACAAGGTCTGACCCAGACTGAGCAGCTAACACCTCTTCTACCTTGTGCCTGAGCACTAAAGTAAAATCCTGTCAGTGGCGTTCAAACTCTGAAATCCTGCTCTCCTACCATAAATTTCTTCTGTCACCTCTCTTGTACCTTAATTTTATTGGGAATAGTTCCCATCCCTCCAGTTCTACTTCAGGTACAGTTTTCATTCTGTTCCAGCCAGAATGTAGGTCCCTCTTGTTCTAACCAGCAGCTCCCCTGGGTTTTGCTTCTGTGCACGAACAGTTTGGATATCAGGGCCAATCGTTGTGGCTTTCACTTCAGTGATTTCTCATTCTCTGTTTCCTATTTGCCAACCTCCATCCATCCCTTACTAAATCAGGCTATGGGTTTTCTCCAGTGAAAGGGGTTATAGGGGATGACAATACTTTTTTTTCAGGGGTGTCGGAAATGTTTTGGAAGTACATAAGGTGGTGGTTGTAGGATGTGAATGCACTAAATGTACTAACTGATTAATTATATGTTATGTGCATTTCACCTCTTTAAAAAAAAAAAAAAGCCATAATGGCCTTCCCCCTGGTGGCACAATGGGTTAAAGAGCACAGCACTATGAAGCTCTCCTCAGACACTGCAGCATGAGCTCAATCCTGGCAGGATGGTGACCCACACAGCACAGCAGACCTCTCCTGACTAGCTTGCTGCTTCCCTCAACAGTGTATTTCAGCCAGCCTGCCTGTTCTGCTCCTCACTCTGGTGAAATCTTTCAACCCCCCCCACCTCTGGCCTGTACCCCAGTTCTTATATGCATAAATAAATAGATCTTTAAAAAAGTCCTAAGAAGCCATTGCAAAGTGTTTGGGCAGGGAGGGAGGGTAACAAGACAGTTTTAACTTTGGGAATAGTGGTTACTTGAGCTGCAGAATGACAGTGGCTTGGCTGGGGGCAGAATTGCTGCAGGTGGAAGATTCAAGCGGTTATTAGATGAGAGGCGAGTTTTGGTGTCACATCACAGCCTTATTAGAATCCAGAGCATAAAGCCTGAGTCCTCAAGTACATCCAAGGCCTTCTGCAATTGGGCTCTTAATTAGGTCACTCTCAACCACATGAGGTTGTGTTATTCTTTAATGTGCCAAATTGTCTCATTGCTGTTTGCTTTGCCTGGACTATTATTGTCCTGCCAACTTTTACTGATTCTTCAATTTTCTGTTTAAAGTTCATCTCCTTCTGGAGGTTCCTCCAGTCTCCCTGAATGTGTTAGTTCTGTGTATCCTTGGGTCTCGAGTTGTCCTTGTTCAGTTACAGTGAGCTGGCCCATTTGACTGTAGTTTCTAGAAGAGTGGATGCGTCCCTGGCACTGACCCCTTGCGCCTTACATATGGAAACATTGAGTAAGAATCTGTGAAAGGCCCTCCCTGGTGGCGCAGTGGGTTAAAGCACAGCACTGAGAAGCTTAAGCCACTCCCACATAAGTTCGATCCCCGCATGCCCTGGAGGAGATCCATATGGCGGGGCAGACCTCTCCTGACAGGCTCACTGCTCCCCTCAGCAGTGTACTTCATCGATCTGCCTGTTCTGCTCCCCACTCTGTCTTTGGTGAATCCTCTCACCCTCCGCATCTCTGGCCTGTACCCCAGTTCTACATGAATAAATAAATCTTAAAAAAAAAAAAAAGGACCTGTGAAAGCAATGAATGAATCTACCTCTCAGAAAAGTTTCTTCAGCATTCTCTTACTTCTGTCATACTTGGAATCTCTACCTCCTCTGACTTTTTAGCTTTGAAGCATGTTTTAAGTTTTTCTACTTAAAAGCACTTCTGTTGATGCTGCTATATTCTAAAGTTATCACTTCATTTCTCTTTCCTTTGTATACTGATAGATTTCTTGAAAACAGCTGATGAACTAGTATTTCATCTTTTTCATTTTCTAATGATTGTGCTAACTTTCAAGTTTGGCAGTTCCTTAAAGAAGGCTCCATATCTGGTTTATTTTTCTATCTCCTACAGTCTTCTGTGTATAGTATGAACTATGGTTCCACATGACATACCTGCTGTAATGTTAGGCATCTCTTACAGGAATCAATGAAATATTACTTTCAACATTTATTTTGAATTTTGTACCACAGGACCAAAATTCATTTAATTGAAGGGGATGAGGAGAGTTCAGTAGAGATTCTGAAGATAGTCTGGACTTAGACTTTCTCTAGAAAGAGTATTGCTGCGCTATCAGCTTTGGCTGTGGAAGGGAACAGGTGTATATGGACTGATGAAGGTTGCTGTGAGATGGGCTGATGCAGAGGGAAAAGGCAAAGTAAAAGGGGCACTTGAGAGGGGTTTTCAGTGGGCCAGCCTGACTAGGGCCCACAGGGAGAGAGGATGAGACCCTGCAACACTTACTGCTCTTAGCTTGGGAGTCAAGAATGCTCTATAGCTTGACCACAACATGCCTTTTCAGCTTCATCTCCCCTTTTTCTGCTCATGAACTCTACACTTCAACCAAAGCATAGATCTTTTCCTAAACTCTCTGTCTCATTTTTTATCTTTCGTATCATTCCCCTCTCCCTTTTTACCTGTTGTATCAGGTTTACCCTCTAGAGATCAGTTAGAGCTCAAATAAGCCTTATCTTTCCATGTGGAAGTGATCTCAACAGCTCCTTCTGTGCTTTCTTGTCATGTGTGGTCAGTACACAAGACTACCCTGTCTCTCCTCAAAATGCTGCCATCTTTTGGTTTCTAGTACTTCATCCCAGCCCTCCCCTACCCCTACCCTGCAGGAGCTTCTTGGGCCTCAAAAGAGGATGTAGAAAATTGTGATGAACGCACTTACAAGCCTGGGATGCAAGGCTGAGCGGTGATCCTGTCTGGCTCTCCCGCCTCTTTGTACTGGCGCTCTAAGAGACAACTGCAAGAGCTGTGACCAAGAGCGTCCTTCCATCTGTGGGGCTGCAAATGGCACAGGCTCAACTTTGTGTTTTGATGCAGGAGGCCTAAAACCCAGCACAGGCAGGCAGGGGTACTCATCTGGGTCATCTCCTCACTGGGCATTTTCAAAGCCATTTCCTCCTCCCGCTGTCCCAGTTCTCTGACCTATGTAGCTACAGATTCTTGCTTCTGAAGAAACCTTCCTCTTTCCCCCCTTAACAATGAGTCACTTGGGCAATTCTGCTTACCAAGCCCAGATCTACCTCACTTCTCTCCTTCCCTCCTAGGTCCCCTGGGCTTAGCACAGGGAGGGCAGCAGGTTGCAGACAGTCCTGCTGGAAAAAGGTCCCACTCCAGCCCCCTTCTCAGTCCCTGTGCAGATCCTGTGGTAGTTGTGATAGTTCAGCTGTGACACCCTTATGAGTGGCAGCTTGTTTCTGCTTTTGTCCCATCCTATCTTAAGGTATCAGGTTATATTTGCCTGAGGGAAGAAGGTAGTATGAGAATCCATATTTTATGCAGAGATCTGGCCTTGAAGGTAACTTGGTGTTGACTGTGGAGGCACTTTGTTTGCTGGGTTCCATGGACAGAAAGTAGATGGACGACGGGAGGTGTGGAAAGGGTGCAAAAGAATGGCTCTAGTGCAGCCATGGAAATGCCACAGCAGTTGTGGCTCTCCAGAAGTTTCCTATTCAAAGTATATTCCGAAAGGTGCAGCACTTACATGGACTCAAGGGACCTCGGATGTAAATGAAGACTTTCACCAGAACCCCAGGCCTCAAAGCCACCTTGGTTGATCAGTTATCACCAGTACCCTCCATTGCCAGGTTGAAATTTTTATTTGAAAAATTGAAAACACAGATGCAGTGTAGTATACAAAGAAGGGCCTTAATAGCATAATAAAAGTATTGTCGGAAGGGAACAAAAGCCAGTGGCTACCTGCCCTGGGAAGGTAGGCACTCGGTGAAAAATAAAATTCATTTATAGGAACTATTCTAATGGAACATTTGGAGAGAAGGTTAAAAACACAAGAGAAAAACAAACCCAACCCGCCTCTGCACACCTGAACATGAGTTTGTTGTAAGGTTGAGACAATTTGTGTTATCACCAAGCTTGATCTGAACCCCCTCGGTTTGTCCCTATGAGTAGTGATCAGCTTAATTTAGGGCCTTCAAACCTGAGGTAGCTGAGGGTCACCTGAAAGACACGTCTGGAAATTACCTACTCTCAGAATCGGACCCAGCGGTATCGAGCCAACTGTTTCACGTTGCCGGGACTCCTGGGGGCCGGGGGTATGTGGGGGCAGCTGCGTCGCTACTCTTGGTTGTTGATGTATATTCGATCTGGACCTGGGAGACCAAGGACTTGAGCAGCAGACGGCTGGCCCACCTTGCTGTGCAGATGGCCAGCAGGCCCGTGGTGGTGGCTTGCTGTGCTGTAGGTGGTACAGTCCCTGCAGGGCTAAGGATGGCAGAGCAATGGCAAAGCCAGTCTGGTCAGAAGGCCAGTGCCAGGGCTGAAGGCTGTCACTGGCAGGAAGGATTTCCAGAGATGTGGCAAGGTGGTAGAAGGGAGCAAGAAATTGGCCAGTTACTCAAGGCCCGCGAAGTGGAGCCAGCAGCCCCCCTCACATAAAGAGGTGGCCATGAGGTGAGCACTTCCGAGGAACAAGTTCTCAACCAACTCCTCCCTGGGAAGAAGCCAAAGCAAACCAATGTGATGGCCCCACGGTAGCTGCTGTAGCCAGCCTGTGTGGCCCCGTGGTCCACACAATTCCAAGAAGGGATGGTCTGAGTAACATTTGGTTCCCGTTACTGGTTAGGGATTCAGATTCAGGTGGGATCCCAGGGATCCTGCTGAGGGCGACAGGATCAACAATCAATCTAAATTAAGGTCTAATTTAAGCTCCTCACTCAGATATAAAATTACCCTAGAAAGGGAGGTTCTGTCTTCTAGTGTTTTCCTTATGGACACGTACATCCTTGCATTAGCGATACGAGAGCACTGTGTTACAGAATTAAATAACGGCTGCTATCTATTTAACATCTCATCAAGCCTTCGCCACGCTTTTGCTGTCCTCTCTTGCTAGGACTCATTTACATTAATCAATGAAACTTCCGTCACTCATGATGCTCTCTGATTAAAGGTTGTCTTTTGAGCCTCAAGATGCCCCTGTTTTGATCTATTTCAAACCAGGTATAACATTCACTTTTAGAAGAGTCAAGGTGGGACAACTTGATTCTGGCTAGAAAATGGTAGCTCCTGTTTGCATGATGATGAAAATCATTATTACATCTAGCGGTACTTCTGGTTAAGTGCTTTCTCAAATGTGTATTTCTCATGCTAAGCCCATGAAGGTTTTAAAAATTACCATGGTTTCTTTTAGGGGGAAAAACCTAATGTGGTGCAATATACTGGACACCTAACACCCCCTCCCCAACAGTAATTTGGAGCCAAATGTTTGAATGGCCCAGATTCTGGAAGTGAGGCACGGCCACCTTTGGAAATGCTGACCCTCACTGAGAATTAAGCCGACACTGATCAGCTTAATTGGCACATCTGTGCCAGGGCTGCCACATGCCACTTCTTCTGAGCTGTGGGTGGAAACTGCCAGTACAAGACACATTATACACGAGACAGCACAATCTCTACTGCCGACCCCCCTTCAGCCCAGTCATGTAATCCAAATTGCTGGGAGACAGTGTTTTGAGTGCCCTACTTCAGAAAATGCACAGAGGAGTGGGGGAATGAAGAAGGAGGCAGGGTTGATTCACAGTGATCGAACAGGAGTCCTACAACCTGTCACGCAGCAAAACCTAGCAACATCCACTGGGTAGATCCGGGGAGGTGCTTGTTGGCTACTACCTGTGAGTTGCTACAGAGAAGAAAGGAAGACACGTTGTCCGAGACTGGAAGGTCACTTAAATGTTGGGTTCCATCTGAAGGGGAAAGTGCCGTCAGGCTGCCTTTCTCTAGGAGGCTGTTCATATACTTCTGTCTTCATCCCATCCAACGGGCAGTTAGGCCTGGAGCACGTGGTTGGAGATCAGACCAGTGGTCCCGTTCACACCCTCCCTCACCCGCACGCTCTGAGGGGCTGCGTGCTTCAGGATCCCGGCCAGTACGAAGTCAAGAGGGCACTCTGGACTTGGTTGTAGTTCTTAAGACGGTTGTCCCAGGGTAGCCATGCCGGCCACGCCAACATCACATCTGAAATCCTGATGGCTTCGAGCGTCTTTCAGCAGGCACCTGCCGCCGCCCAAGGGAGTAATAAATAGTAAAGGTGCCAAACCAGGCACAGGGCTCTTTCCTGCTGTTTGTCTGGTCTTCTGGGCCTGTGAGTCAGGTAGAACATGGAACTGTCTTCTTCAGATTCAAGAGGATGCCGAAACAGGTATTTGGAGAAAGGAACTGGAAACCCTGCACGTTTTCCCTTAGGGCCCTGCCTGGGTCTTTGGGGAGGTGGCCAACTTGAGGTGGGTGGGAAGAAGGAAGAAGTCAGTGTGGCTGCTCTCACCAGCTCCAGTCAAGCATAAGGTTTTCCAGCCTGGTCATCAGGAGCTCCCGGGAAATGCACTTGGGGACGAGCCAGGCCTTGAGCACCCCCTTCCCCTCCCTCTTTCTGAGCCCTCTCGCTGTGAAGGCGCAAAGGCTTAGGGCAGGGCTCCAGCTTCAGCAAGGGAAGGCACTCGCTCTGCTCCTGCTTCTTGAGGAAAGTGTGGCTCAGCAGTGTGCCCGGCTGGGGGGCCTCGGGGACCCCCGTGCGCTTGGCGGGCCGCCGGTGGAGAGGCTGGCGTGGAGCACCAGGGTGGGGCCCCGCAGCACCATCTGTGAACTGCTGTGGTGAGGGGCCCCTAGCAGCGCCCCGGGGCGTTCCCTTTGCAAGAGTTGGCTATGAGAGTGAGACTTGAAAAAGGAAAACCAAAAAACCCAACCGACCACTGTAAGAAGCAGTGGGGATCCACGAACGGCCAAAAGAGGGGAGAGCTGTCTGGACATTCTCAGCCAGGACACTCCTGCTGTTCCTCCGACTTGGTGCACAGACTCAGGGTAGTGTCCTGGGTTGGGATCCACCAGCCCTCTGAGGCTCACAAGTTTGTGCAAATGATGAAACTGAAAAGACTGAGATCTAAGAAAACAGAAAAGAAAATGTGTAAGATCTTCCCTTTCCAGGCACTCAACAGAGCCACAAGCCCCTCTAACAAGGACACCAATTCGGGGTGAAAGAGCAGGCAGGACTGGGAAGGAGGGCCTCTCTGTGGGGATGGCCCTGGCCCCCCTCGTCTCCGGGCCAGTCTGGACACTGGGGAGGCGAGAAAGAACAGAGATCACGGGTTTGGATGGAAAGGGCGTGACTGTGAAGGGGGTCTCGGGAAGGGCCGTCAGGTCCTCAGAACTGGACAACGGGCGGCGTGGCTGCCCTTGAGGCTCCGAGGGTTTCGGCTGTGGCTGGGAGGGCAACACACACACAGATGGGCAGCAAGGATTTATACTCTGATGTGTGGGGCTTCAGTGTGGCTCTATTCTTTTTCGGTTACCGCTTCTTGCAGTGGAGGTGGAGGTGCTTCTGTTCCTAAAAGACAGTAAGAACGGGTGTTTGGTTTTGCTTTGCGCACACGCATTCATTCAACCCACGAAACCGCCACCACCTTGGGTTCTAAACGACATCATAGTCATAACTGTGATGGAATCTTCTAGTCGGGCAACTAGATACTTCTGTGGTGAGTTCCCAGCTCAGCCAAGTCCCAGGAGAATCAAAATCTTTGCTGTGATCCAATTGGCCACTTTGGGCGTGGAGAAGCAACACTCATGGAGTCTCTGGGCTTGTTGGCTGAGTTCACTCGTGTACACGCGTCTCAGCTCCTGACCCTCTACCTTCTGACCACTGCTGCCCATCGCTGGCTCTGGCCCGTCTGCTGGGTCCCCGCTGACCGCTCTTCACACTCAGTGTTATACTGACCCAGAGACTAAACTAAACTGGGGAGCACACCAGGGCCTGGAAGGCAAAGATGCCAGGTGAGCACACCATTTACTGGTCAATGAAAGGTGATCAAGGATAAGTCATTAAAGTGACAATGAAAGCTTTGAATTCACCAGAGTGTGTCTCTCCCCCCAGCCCCCTCTGGGCTTACAGGTTGGTTATAACTGAAGAGCAAACCTCCCTGTGAGTAGAGCAGGAGGCCAGTGACCCCAGGGGCAGGCCCCGCCACACAGCACCCTCCCTCACCGGCTGGCTCTGCTCCTCGGAGGCTTACCTTCTTCCCAGCCCTCAGCAACACCAGCAAGCTCATAGTGCTTTTTTCGAAGCTCTCCCAGCTTTTGTCGCTCCTTCTGCAAATCATTTTCTAGCTCTAGCACCCTAACCTGTGGGAAAGTGGCAGTTTCTTTTAGGTGTTATCCGAGAACTGTCTGAGGCTGCCTTCATCCCTTTCTCTGTGTTCTAGTTCTCTATGGCCATGTTAATCACCCCATTTCCATAGCTCACCCACCTTCAACTTCAACCCTTGTCCCTTGCTCTGGACTTCGCCATCCTCTCATCCATCCACCCCAATGGGCTTATTTATCCTTTCTCACTGTGACCCTTTACTGGATATGATGTTTCACAACCCAAGTGCCTGAGTGGGAATCGGGCTTATCTTAGTGTTTCTCCCATGAATCACTGTCTAAAACCAGCTTGGCTGTCCAGCCCATCTATATGGTGTGTTCCAAGCCCATGTTAGCCCTCTCCTTCAATTTCAGCTCAGAAGCCCATGAAGAAACCAAATACAACAGTTTTGGTATCTGAGGGCCTGTTGCCATTTAGGATTATTTTACTGCTACAGGAAGAGGCACAGACAGGCTTACAAATGGAATGGTTTAGTTCTTGGCTATCGCTATTTCTCTTTAATTTTATTATTTATCAATTCAGAAAATATTTGCTGAACGTCCATCGTGTACCCGAAGCTCTAAAATAGGAGCTGCCGGTAAGGGACATAGACAAGATCCCTGCTTATCTTGTCGGGGGGAAGAGATAAATTAACGACTAAGAAAAGATCAAGTCATGAAGAAACTGACACAGGCTGATGTGATAAAAACGAAGGGTAGTGAGCAGAGGCTGCTGTTAAGGACCACCAGAGACCAGCTGTTCAGAGAAGCAGTGAAGATTATTCTAGGTGAAGGCAGCAGAACAACAAAAACTAATGCAGGAGTGAACTTGAGGTATTAGGAAAATAGAATACAGCCTTAAGAAAGGAAGAAATGTGGCCCTCCTTGATGGCGCAGAGGGTTAAAGCACAGCACTGTGAAGCTATCTGCAGCCAGTGCAGAATGAGTTCGATCCTGACCCACACGGCACGACGACCTCTCCTGTCCCGCCCAGGGCTCCCCCATCAGCAGTATATATCATGCCTCACACTTCTGGCCTGTACCCCAGTTCTTGTATGCACAGATACATAAATCTTTAACAACAACAACAAAAAAGATGGAACAAAATGGAGGGAATGAGAGAATTATGTGCAACAAAGTATTCAGAATGAAGATAACAAATATTGGCCATTTTACACAGCAGACAATTTTTAAAAAATGAATGAATATTAATAAACACCCTGAGGTGTTTAAGGTGAGGGGAAGGGACAAGGGGACCCAAGGGGACCAAAAACAAAGAGGACTCTTAGGCTTGGTTTCAGTACCTGGGTTCTTACCCAGGTGGTGTCCCCTGCTGAGATGGAGAAGAACAGCAGGGAGGCAGCTTTGGGTGAAACCTAGAGACCTGTTTGGGGCACACTAAGTTTGAGACAGTCTTTGGGCATGAACTGGAGATGCCAAGCACAGAGCTGGACAAACACAGAATTCAAGAAGAAGATGTAAGCCAGGGTAGAGAATCTGGTAAAGTCAAGAGGGGCTGGTCGAGACCCTAAGCAAGACACAGGAGACTCAAGTCTCAGCTCAGTTCTTTCAATATTTACAAAGAAAGTGGTCACAGGACTTTTCCCAAAGATGCCAAGTGACCCATCTGTAGCCCTTTAACAAGTGCCATCTGAACTGGACCCGAAGGCAGATAGATAACCAGGATGTCAGTCTTTTATTTTCAGGATCCCACTGATTCCTGTTTTTTTTTTCTTTTTTAACTTTAATTATTATTTATTTGACTTAACAGAAGGCTGATAAAATAGGAAGGGTAGAATGCAATATATAATTATTTGCTCAATGTCCTTTTAAGAACTTAGAAAGGAACAGTTGAAGTTAGATTTCTTTAACATTACTAAATTATAATAATTTCTGTTTTGACTGACTTGGTCTATCATATTACATATATAACTTGGTTTTCAGTAAATTCTTATTCATTCACAGCTAAAGCTTGGGTAAACCAGTGTTAAATTAGAGGAAGTTCTTACTATTTTTCTGCAGTTGAGATGAATACACACGGGGAAAATGCAAGGTGATTTTAAAGAATCTGTAATGTTGATGATAAACTGTACTTTGTTACACAGATGAAAAAGGATTATTATTAATAGTAGAATCTATACGTTTTAAAAAGAAGTTAAATCATTACTGGTAAGGACTGATTTCAACCTGAAAACTGATATTTTTTTCATTTATTAAAAATAGTAGCAAACCTCTTATTTACGGCTCTTTGTTTATAAAATACACCATATTTCTGGAGCAACCCTACTATGGAATATATTTGCAAGTTGATTCTCCCCTCTCCCCTTAGTGTAGGAATTTACAAAGCAACTAATGAATTATTGTACTAGAAGCCCACTGATTCCTGTTTTTAGGGTCTGCCTTCACAGCCCTGAGAGAAATGGCCCTTGATGGGTTAGCAGGAAATCAATTTTTTTACACTAAAGCAATACACATAATTCATATCAGAAACCTGAAGAAATTATTGATGCTAAGACTGTGAAGTACCAGTCTGTGCGAGGAGACCCCTGTTAACATTTAGAGGGACACCAGCCCAAGACGAGTGGGCAGGAGGTTGGCTTCACTCTTTACTCATCACCACCACTGTTCCTTCCTGCATCACTTACATTCCTCCTTGAATTGACAGGCACACCTGTGTTCACTTCTGCCCAGGTCTCTCTCTGTCGTCGGCTTCTCTCGGGGGGTTAACATTTGGGGTCTATGCACAGGCAGTAGAGAAGAGACCTAGAGGGAAGCTCCTACCTGGGAATCCATCTCCTGGCGTTTGATCTGGGTCAGCGTCATGCTTGAGAAGTCCATGTTGTCTGCAAGGATGGAAATTCTCTTGTCAAATAATGCCCCTTCCTGGCTGACTCGTGCCTGAGAAGCTGGCAGTTCCAGTGCTCAGCTGAAAGCTCCATTTGCCATTTACCAACACGAGGGGAAGAAGTAAAGGCAGGTGCAGTGACCAAGGTCGGATTCCACCCCCAGGAATTGGTTTAAAAAAAAAATAGCTAAATGGAAAATCCACACATGAGCCTGTCACCACAGCAAGACCATCACAAGTCACTCAGTGATGGGGACACATCCCACTGTGTCGTCGTGCAGACGTCACTGAGTATAATGATACAACACAGACCTAGCTGGCTCAGCTTGGCACACAGCTGGCCTGGATGCTGTAAGCCTACTGGGGCAGCCGTGGAGTAGGGGCCTCGTGGCGACTGAGACAGTAAGTGACACTCGACTGTATAAACCTAGAATACGTGCGCAGCACCCCACCCACTGAGAAAACGAGCATGAAAGACACGAAAAATAAGAGGCTGCAAATTGGGATGATGCAGAAGAAAGTAAAGAACAGTTAAACGGGGGCGGTGGGAGCAGAGCTGCCTCGGAAGGTTACCTGTCTCCTCAATCTGGGATTTGCCAGAAATGGTGGAGGCCACAACGGCTGCAGTGGCCTGGTTCACCCCCCGGGAGGCCTGCTGCAGCTGGGCCAGGTTCACGCTGTCCTTGTCAGCTTTCACCTGCCAGGGCAAGCAGATGCACGTTCACGCAACACGGAGGGTGACAACGGCGTCAAACTGGCCCGACGACGCGAGGCGACGGCCAGTCAGCGTCTTGGAGACTGCTGCCGAGAGAGTCAGCTTCTGGCTTGTCTCTATCATAGAAGCCACCCCGGCTTCTTTGCTTGGTGGCCTCAAACTCTTGCTTCATCATTTATCTTGTTAACGGGTTGCCATCAGGGAAACAAATTTGGGACAGTAAATAAGGGTGGTAAAAGACCACTGCCTGTGTACTATGAAAGTCGAGGAAGAATTGGTGACAAGCCTCGCAGTATGACCCTTTGGGGCAATGGTCCAAGCTTGGAGATCTGTGATGGGGGAATCAGAGGTCAGCGTGCTGGCGTGAGTGGGGGCCCTGGGAAGAAGGGCAGGAGACAGAGGGGACCCCACAGGTATTAATAATGTTTCTTAAGTTTCAAATGGTCCTCAAAGACCATCTGTAATAAAAGCGAGGCAAGCTGCAGGGGAACACGTGTGGGGAGCTGGGGAGGGGGTGGGCTCCTTGCTGACAGAGGAAAGGCTTTGCAGAGGAGGCCAACATTTATTGTGGGGCCCAGCTCACCCAGGCCCTGGGAAAATCATCTGTTCTTGGTGCGAGCTCCTTGGTCCAAGTCTTCTCTAACCTAGCCAGGCCTTAGTGTCCAACACGGGCCCTACCTTGGAGGCGGCCACAAGCTGTGCTGTGCTGGCGGCAATTTCGTGGGAACACACCATTAGCTCCTCAAATTTCCCTTTGCCTTGTACCACCAGATCGGCCGCATCCCTGGGAGGAGAGGACAAGATGGATGCTGTCACGGACAGACGTCACCTCGAGACTCCACGCCACCTTGCTGGGAGGACAGCCTCTTGCCCCAAGGCCCCACAGTGCCCAGCAGAGCCCACTGTTAGTCCTGCTAACTTCCTACAAAACACTAGATTGTAAGGGCAGGTGTTTTCCCCTTAGTTGTTGTCTGGGGTGATCAACAGAGTGGGGGGTGGGGCGAGGGGCCTCGGGACCCACAGACACTTACACCATCACAGTGGCACCCCAGCCCACAGCTTTGGAGGCTGAGATGAGTCCTTCTGTCCACCGAGAATTCTTGGCATAGAACTCCTTAGGGGATGCTGTCCCCTAGGGAAAGGAGAAACAGTGACAGCTACCTTCAGGGAGTGCCAGAAGCTCTTATAGCTCTGAGTTCACGCAGTCCTCACAGTAATCCTGAGAGGTAAATGTCACTAGTCCCAGTTGATAGGTGAGAAAAACCAAGGTTCTGAGGCAAAAATAGTTTTTCTAAGGTCATGCAGGAAATAAACAAATCCTGAGCTTTCCTTCTAAAGCCGGTGGCATTTCTATTACATCATGGTATTCCTACTATAATGCATATGTGAGTCACTCAGGACCCAAGGGTAGTCTTGCCTCTCTAAGATTTACTAAAAAGAGGAAAGTACACAGTAACTTAAAAAATTAGCTCTATGTGGGTTTCAAATGCTTTTATGCACATGGTCTGAGAGCCACAACAGCTCCTTGTTCTACGCCTCTTTCTGTTCTGGAGACACACCGCGGCGCATCGTGGCTGCTAGAAAGCACCACCAGAGCACATGTGGTTTCTTCTTCAGTGGACTGTTCTCTGGCTCAAACCCCCTCCCTGGACCTCTGTCTCCTGGGCAGCGGTTCACACAAGGACGTGGGGAAAGAAAGAGACGGCAGTAACGCCAGCACAGGCGTGAGAAAACCAGCGACGATGCTTGCGAACGACCAGCCAGTCTGGACGAGTGTGCGCTAGCTGCCCGCGGGCGACAGACGCCCAGATCCGTGCGCAGCCCTCGGATGCCCAGAGCCGTGCGCAGCCCTCGGGCGCCCGGAGCCGTGCGCAGCCCTCGGGCGCCCAGAGCCGTGCAGCCCTCGGCAACTGCTCCGGGGCCCAGCTGCGCAGTCATGCTGGGTTCCACGGTAGCTAGCTCCAACGAGGTGATCTGGGTTCGTGAGCCTGCAGCCGGGAGCCCTGGCTGACTGCTCTCGGAGACCTGGCCAAGCCCCCTGCTTCTCCCACAGCATTTGCTCAAGTTCAGAGGGGCAGCTCTGTGCCCTCAGGCGGACGCACCCTGAGGCAGCGGCAGATACAGACTTCAGGGAATACGGGTGAGTGTAGCAAGCATCTTTAGCCTGCAGGGAGCCGGGACTCCCTGTCCCCGGGCCTCACACACACCTACCCGGCCACTCTCCACGATCTCTCTCTGGAGGTCCTTGGAGGCCACAATCAGCACCTGAATAGCCTGCATTAAGCTAGTACAGGAACCGAGGATCCTGCAAGAAACAGAACAAAGCAAAAAGGTCAGGGACACAGAACAGAGGCTGAGCGCAACAGCAAGTCCGGTACCCTCGTAAGTATAGGCAAGCTGGGAGGGGACAGAAGGCAGGGTCATGTCGGGGGTACAGCCCTGAAGGAAAGGTGAGTGAGGAGACATGACTGGGGGGTCTTCTTCATAAGGAACAGTTAAGTGGTGATTCTCAGGGTGTCTTTTTCCCTGTAACACAACAGCAGTGTTGTCTTCATCCTTAGCACCATGATGGACAGCTACACGCTCAGCCCTTCCCCGTGGCTGCTCGGCTTGGACCCCAGGCATGACCCAGAGCAGGGAAGGCCCACCCAATCACCGCGGCGCCACCGTGCTGCCCAGACTGACCTTTCATTCACCTCCAGTTTGACGCCTGTGTCTCCCGCTCGGGACTTGCTGAGCATCTCCTGTTAAAAAGCAGCAGAGTCTCTCAGCATGTGATGGGGAATGAGAACCCCCTGGCCTCCCGCTACACTTCTGAGTTCAGCCTCTCTAAGCAGCTGAGAAACCCAAATCTAGCCGAGACCGCCTACATCCGCATGAGGGTCGGGGAAGGAGCCTGCTGTCCGGCCCGCTCAGCGGCCCGCTCAGCAGCCCGCAGCGGCAGCAGACACTGCAGCGAGCGTCTGGCATTCTGTGCCCACACCGATGTGCGCAGGCTCCAAGAGCCTGCCCAATGCCAACTGACCGTGGCTACTGCGTCCCAGAGGCGGCTCTCAGGCAGGTGGCAGCCTGAGTCCTCACCAAAGGAGCAAACTGTGACTGTCCTATGAGCCCACGCAGGCTCCCCTGAGACTTTATTTACTGACAGTCTGGTGCTGGGACAAATCAACAAAGTCTCATTTCTCCCTCAATGCCCCTCCCAAGTGGGGACTGTCATCATCATCAGCGTCGTCGTTGTCATCACATAGCAATGGCAACTGAATCCTAGGCCGATGCAGCTTATTGGAAGCCAGACTGATGGTCGAGCTGAAACCGGAACGTGCTAGCCTGACGCCAAGGTAGGATCCCTGCGGCAGCCACTCTCTTCCCACAGCAAGGACCTTCTCGTGCTGAGGTCCCAGTGAGTCTGGGCTCTGGCTTGCTCATGGCACCCCTTTAGAACGCCAGGGAGAGGTCCCAGTGGGTAGCGCTGCCACAGGGTGGCTGCCAGAGCACTCTCCTGGGTCTCGCCGCGGCGCCCATACCTCGATTCTGGCCGTGGCAGTCTCAATGGCAGCTGAGGTGGCAGCCATCTCCTTGTCCACCAGGTCCCCCAGCTCCTCCTGTTTGATATCCAGGCCCTTGGGCAGGAGTTCCTGAGAACAGCGTCACAAAGGCTGCAGTGACCCCCAAACACATTCCCAGCCTCTCTGACCTTCCACCTTGCAGAAGGCAGGACGGTCTCATCACAGAACACGTGTCTGCAAGCTTTGGAGGGGCGTCCCTCACAGACCCTGCCTGGAACTCTCTACTGCGGGCCCAGAACATGTCAGCCTGACGCCAAAGTAGCTGATCCTTGCGGAAGCTGGATCTTCCTGAAGGCCTCCCTAACCCCTGCGAAGCCAAGGCGTGGGCAGGCCCAGCGCCTTGACCTCAGTTACACTGCTGTAAGCGGCAGCGCAGAGACCCGAACACAGCGCTAATGGCAAAGCCCATGATGTTTCAAAGGTTGTGTGTTACAGGGGCATAAAAGAGACTTGAGTGACTTATATACAAAGAGGAAGCGTGCTATAAAAAAAATACATAGAAAAGAGAGATGGGTGGTTTAGGGGCCTCCCTGGGGGCGCAAGGGGTTAAAGTACAGTACTTGTAGCTATCCACAGCCACTGCAGCACAAGTTCAATCCCCCATACGTCTGGTCTACACCCTAGCTCTTATACTATCAATAAATAAAATCTTTAAAAAATATATACCAGGAGACAGGACTCATTCACTACATGTTTACTGAATGGATAAATCCATCTTTAACTCCAGATGAAAGTCTCTGAAGATGGAAATGGCTTATTTTTGATATTGTCTAGTATCGTGATGATCACAGTGAAGCCTCAGCCAGCAGCCAATGAATTAACCAGAATATAACCAGAAAGTCATTCAGGGGGGGTCAACTCTTTCAGCCTTAACTCTCACTTTTAACAGTCAAGTTGTAAGTGCAGAAGGCACCGGCTTAGGACCTCACCGATTCCCTGGCGAATCACCGCACTCACACCCAAGAACAGTAAGTTCCCCAGAGGTAACACTGCACTACCTCCCCGATGGCCGTGATCTTGCCGAGGCAGCTCCTCATGGCGGTGCTGTCTGCTTTCTCCAGGGCTCCCTCTTCCAGGAAAGTCAGGTAGGTAAGGGTTTCCCTGGCATACTGCTTGCAGGCCTCGGTCAGCACTGGAGATGCAGGCGACAGACACTTGTGAAGGCCCTCTGCCCACTGCCCCCGCGCAGAGCTTCCCGGGCAGCCCCCACCCGGTACTCACGGTCAGCAGGCTCTGGCGGGCCTCTGAGGCAGGTAGTGCCGCCCTGAACAATGGTGTCGCTGGTCAAGTGTGCAAGGAGGGTCACCGAGTGCAGAAGCCCACTGATATCTGCCCGGGGTTAGAGGGAAGTCTCAGAACTGCTGAGGGAGTCTCCCCCTCCCCGCTCTCTGAGTCATACACACTCCTTTCTTGGGACGCAGGAGCCTGCCACTATTTCCACAGTCCAGTGTCTCTGAGCCTTGCCCAGAGTTACTATCCCCAGCCTTTCTTACCTTCTGGGTAGAGCAGATACTGGCTTCTGTTTTTTTCTAGTTGCTCGATGCAACTGGAAGCAGACTTGACCTTGGCGAGAAGGTGATCTGTGAGGGGGAAGACGGAGCAGTCAGAGCCTGCTAACTAACCTGCCTTAGTTAGGCCCCCAATGGATGGGCCTGCCCAGCGAGTGGCTCCACTTGTACGGGAGGTGCCCTAAGACAAGCAGGCCACCCTGGACATCCCCTTACTTCCCGAGCTGTGTTTCTGAGGCTGCCTGGTTCCTTAGCGGAGACCCGGAGCGACCACCTCACCAGCCTAACCCCATCCCTCGTTACTGCCCATTGCCTCAAACACAGGCTTCCTGGTCTTTCAAAACCCATGGAGTCTCATTTCTTCTGGGCCTGGACCCTGGCTCTGCCTTAGTCCCTGTTTCCTTTCCTTGTGAGTCACCCACAGTCAACCGTACTCTGGAAATAGTACGCAGAATTAATCATTTTGAGAGCGTTGAGAGCACAGTCCCGTAATTTTTATTACAATACTGTTTTACAATTGTTCTGTCGTTTCATGTTTCTGTGGCTGATCTCTTACTGCGCCTACCTTGTACATTAAACCCTCTCACAGGTACGTAGCTATAGGAAAAACAG